GGGGGGGGGGAGGAGCCCGCGGGCGACGGTGTGAAACGGATCCCTGGCGGGATGCCGCATCTTGGCCCGGTGCTGGGGGCGAGAGAAGGGTCCCCGGGCAAGTGTAGGGGGCGGGCGGCTGGGCCCCACAGAGGACCGAAGCACTCGGGAGCGCCCTCCGGAGGCGGCGCGGAAGCCCCCGGGCCCCCTCTCTCGGTGTTCGGCCGGCGCGCGCGCGCCGTCTGCCTTGCCCTTGCGCGTGTGCTGGCGGCGCATGTCCTTCTGCGCGCTGGCGAGGGGCCGGGCTGAGGGGCCGGGGGAGCACGCCCATCCATCTCCGTCGGTTTAGGTGGCCCTGGGGGCTTCGGGGAAAGCCGACGGGTTTAGATCCACCCGGGCCCCGGGGCGTCTCACAGACTGACGTCCCCCGGGGAGCCGGGCGCGCGGGCGGAGCCCAGCTTCTGGCACCTTCTCCCCGGCGCGATCCCGGCGTGTCGAAGCGCACAAACAATCCGGCCGCGTCCCCGGCCTCCGCGCCCGACGCCGGGGACAGGTGAGAGCTCCGCGCACAAACAAGCCGGCCGCCGGCCAGGGCCGCATCCCCGGCCTCCTCGCCCGCGCCGGGGACAGGCGAGAGTTCCGCGCACAAACATGCACGCGCTTGCGCACAAAGGGAAGTCCCGCCGCCCGCCGGTCGGCTAGCCCCTTCCCCATTGCCTCTGTCCCCTGGGCCTCGCCCCCGCCCGCCCGCCCGCCCCCACTCGACCGCTGGCCAATGCTATTATTTTGGCCTTTTTTGATCCGATTTTCGGCACTGCGCCGTGGCGAAAATGTGTGGACGAGGCATCGAGCGGCGGGCGAACTTCTTGCTGGATTTTGGTCCCACATTTCCGCCTCGGTGCATGGCCGCTCCCCTTTTCCCCGATTTTATTTCCCCCCGGCCCTCCCTGGGGCTGCTCGCTCTTGCCTCTTCTGGCACTCGCGCGCACACACGGCCTTTAACGAGTATCTTGTATTTAGAGAAGGCAAGGAGACAATGGAGGTGTGTGTGTGTGCGTGTGTACGTGCACGCACGCGAGCACCGGAACAGTCCCGCCTCGCACGGCGACAAGTACACGCACACACACGCACACACAACGCAGAAGGTGATGCCACACGGCAGCACGGACGCAGGCGCAGGCGTGCGCACTTGGCACCAGCGGAGGTGAGCTGGAGGAGAGGCGGCAAGGGGGGGGGGGACTTTCCACCGCTCGCTCGCTCGCGAGGCGCAGCAACGCCCTGCCCTCGGCCCTCAGCCCTCCTGGCCGAACATCTGGGTGAACTCGATCTGCCGATCCAGGTCCGACTGGTTGACCGAAGGCTTGATGGCCTGCAGCGCGGTCAAGAAGTCCCGGTACGAGACCGGCGGCTCGAGCAGCTCATCGCCCTCGATCTCCATCCAGGTCATCTCCCGGGCCCCGACGTCGCCCGGAGAGCAGGGGGTCAGATAGTTCCGGGTCTTGCTCGGATCCGTGCGATCCGGCCCGGTGACCTGCGGCGCGCGCGCGCGCGCGCGCATTCCGACGACACAGCACAGGTCAGCATACGGCGCACGGGCGTGCATCATCAGCAGCGGGCAGCGGGGTGGGGGGGGGGGGATAAAGGCAGCCACCGGGGACCGGTGGGTTGCCCCCCCTGCGTGTATGTGCCCACGACCGGATGTCCCATCGCCAGGCGGCCGGCCACCATTGGGGCGGCGCACGCTCCCGCCCCGTCATCAGGAGAGGAGGAGTGGGAGGGTGGAAAATGCGAGGAAAGAGGCATACGCACCGTCTTAAAGTGGGTGGCAGTCTGGACCTTGCGGACTGGCGCCATCAGAGCATCGCGCACAAGAATCGAAAGATCGGAGCCGGAATAGCTGAGAGATGGCCGGGCACATGGGTCAGTGAGAAGGGGCAGATGGCAGCGGTCGGCAGCAAACCGAGTAATCGGCAGCGTGGGTCAGCAGGCCGGCAGAAGCGAAGGCCCCCCCCCCCCCAGCCCCCCCTCCCCCCCAAGAGGGGCGCGCTCAGGAGGTGCGCACCCGTCGGTCAGCTGCGCAAGGCGCTTGAAGTGCTTCGGCTGCAAGGTGCACTGGACGTCGTTGCCGAGGTTGAGCTTGAGCATGCGAGACCGGGCCTCCACGCCAGGCAGAGGGATGTAAATGCGCCGCTCAAAGCGCCGGCGAATGGCCGCATCCAGCGTCCACGGGGTGTTGGTGGCGCCCAGCACCAGGATGCCATTCTGGTCGTTGCCCACACCGTTCATCTGCACCAGGAACTCGGTCTTGATGCGCCGGGCGGCCTCGGACTCGTTGTCACCGCGCTCGCCGGCCAGAGAGTCCACCTCATCAATGAAGATAATGGCCGGCTTCTTCTCACGGGCCATCTCGAAGAGCTGACGCACGAGGCTGCGCGGCGACACCGGGGGGGGGGGCGGGCGGGCGAGGGGGCGGTAGATGTAGACGCCAGGTTAGGAGGGGAGATGCTCAGACTGCAGAGAGGGGGGGGGGGGCACATGGCCGTGTGAAGACGCACCGCTCAGACTCACCGAGCCACTTGCTGACCAGATCCGATGAGGACACCGAGAAGAAAGTGGCCTTCGCCTCGGTTGCGACGGCCTTGGCCAGGAAAGACTTACCAGTACCCGGGGGCTGGGGGGGGGGGGTGAGCACCGGTGAGGAAGGGTTGAGAAGGAGGCAGATGCCGGGAAGGGGAAGCAGGGGCAAGGGGGGAGCGGCAGGCGGCACAACATACACCGTAGAGCAGGATACCACGCCAGGGGGTGCGCTTGCCAGTGAACAGGTGCGGGAAACGAGTCGGCAAGATGACCGCCTCCTTCAGAGCCTCCTTGGCCTGCTCCAGACCAGCCACATCGTCCCACTTGACATTTGGGGTTTCAGTGAGGATGGCGCCTGTGGTCGAGAGGAAGGGAGAGTGAGCAGCGGGGAGGCATGTGGGCAACTTGACCGTGTGTGTGTTCGGGAGGGGGGGGGGCGAGGGAAAGGGTGCAGGGCGCAGAGGAAAAGGGGAAGGAGAAGGGGGGCGAAAGGGCAAGGCACAGGACACGCTACGCACCACTCAGAGCGCCGCGAAGCTTGGCCTTGTCCTCATCCTCGTCATCGGTCTCGTTGTCATCGTCCTTGTCCTTGGAGTTCTTCTTGCGACGGGCCCTGTTTCCGGGGGAGGGGGGGAGGAAGGGTGTTAAAGTCGGATGGAGCGCCGGAAAAATGCGCGGCGGGCCGTAATTTCACAGGAAAGAGGGTGCCCGGGAGGAGGAGAAGGCGCATAGGTGCGTGTGTGTATGTGTGTGTGGGAGGGGGACATACTTTGAGGCGCCGCCTGAGCCGCCGGTGCCGTCGGTGCGGCCGTTCCCCTGCTCCTTGAGGATGTTTTTCAGGGTCTCGGCGCGATCGAGGTACTCGAGTGCCCGGCGGTAAACCGAGTCCTTGAGAGCGGGGTTCTTCTCATCTGTTCACGGCGAGGACAGGGCCGCCATCGCGGCACGGCCACGGCAGCACATGCAAGGATGAGGGAGGAAAGTGCGCAGCGGGGTGTCAGTGACGGACGACGGCCCGTCCGAGTAGCAGGCGCATCGCGCATCGCGCATCGACGCACACTTGTGGCCAGTCATGAGATACTCCACGGCCTGCGTGTAGCGGGGGAGGGCCTCAGCATAGCGACCCTCCTGGTCGAGGGAGGTGGCCTCATTGGATAGTTCAATGCCTTTCTGCAAGTGCCAAGAAGCGGTGGGGGGGGGGGGGGGGGGGGGGGCGGAGGGGGGGCGTGACGGCCGAAGGGATGGGAGCAGAGGGGGGGGGCAGGCGAGGGGGACACCCGGCAAGTCCGAGGCACCGCCCGCCCCCTCAGGCAGCAGGGCGCCTACCCGCGGCAGGTGAAGGGCGATTAGATA